TCACTGCCTCAACCCCATACTTGGCTTCATTGTACCCTTGACTTGAAGGAGGGTACTCTGGCTGGTTACCTTGGTTACCTCTTTGGTTACCTTGGTGGTATGGGGGTAACCATAATTATCTCTGCCATATGGTGGCGGTGAGTATGGTCTCTGACATCTTGTACCTGCATGAATAAGTGACAATGATTTGTTTAACTCCTTTATTTGTTATTGAAGTGTTTTTAGAGTTTTTTTTTCTCATTATCATCTTTGGTGCCCTCAACAAATCCTACCTGCATGGCTGGGTAGTGTGGGACTCGTGATCCAAACAATGCCCTTTGGTTAGCAACTTATGTCTTGATGTACTTCAGTGCCTTAAGTATAGTTTTAGGGTTCCCTTCCATTGCAGGTTATGCTGCTAATGATTCTCTACAGCCTTTTAGGAACGCCTCTGTAGCCAGCTGATCCTGTGTTATGTTGTCAGCATGAGAAAACCCGTCTGAGGTTAATGTTTGTATTCTCTGAGGAAACTCTGCTAAACTCTCTATTTCCTCTTGTTTAACATATTGTAGTTCTCAGTGAGCCACTACAGGTACATCTTTGCTGCTAAACCTTTCCTTCATCTTTTCTTTTAGTCTTTGGAAGGAAATTACAGGGAGCTTGTCGGCATATTCTAACGCCAACTAAGCAGTCAAAAAACCGTGTAATTTTGTTCGGTCCGACCACGGAATCATTCCTGGAGTCTTGGCTACTCCCCTCCCCTTGACTGGAGTTGTCCGACCTTGAGGAGTCACTGCTAGAGGAACGTGCACGTCTACCTCTAAAAATACCCCAATATTGGTCACGTGGACGACGTAAACCCGTGTCCCGACAGTCAACCGATCCGCGTCGCGAGCCACGATGGTCAAAACAAGTATTACCCTCTCTATGCCTATATCCATCCAGGATAAGGCTAGTAGGGTTTAGTCTTATAGTAGAACTCCTGTATGTATCTACTTGTGTACCTTCTCTAACACTAGGATTACCTCTTTATGAATGTGGTTCTCACTCCTAGCATTGCTAAGTGCTGGCTTAGTGTTTATGTATCCTAGCAAGGAGGGCTTAGCCCGGGGTTGTTTGCCTGCTGTATGTGTAAACACATCACCCCCCGGTAATACCTGGGTATGTCCTGGGTTGCAGGTATAACTCTGGGACATGTTACTCTGGTTGGCATGTGGTAAGGCACCTGTATTGTTATCATCTGGTAACAAAAAGTGACCTAAGGGTGGATGTTGGCATGAGGGTACACTGATACCATAGGATATGTCCCTATCCTTGGGTAGACAAGTGCCTGAGGGTTCATTACTAGCCTGGGTACCAAAACCCTGTGTGAGATTAGGATTTTGGTTATCACATATTAACAGAATAACCCCTGGGTAGACAATCTCCCCTGTAAACTAGAAGGGTCTGATTCCAGCTTAAATCCCCACTTACTAGCTTTAGGTTTAACACCTGATAATGTTGACATATATGTACTTTGTTCCCTCACATACCGGCCATCTCTAGGCATGGCCTGTAATATGGGTCCAAAACAATTATCAACCTCCTCACTGCGAGATAAGGTTGTTGGTGCCTGTACTTCTGTATTGACAGGTTTACTATCCCATAAGGACCAAAATGATGCATCATTACCCTGGGTATTGACATACTGACCGCCCCTAGGTGTTGTCCATGTGACAGTAGCAGGGTACGAGCTACATGAAGCCTCTGACCTAATTAGGACCTCAGTTTCCCTGTCAACAGAAATCTATCTTAATTCCTGTTGCAGTTCTCTGAACTGGTTCTTTATTATCTAACAGGTCCATCTCTATCCTGTCACTAGGTTCCTGCATACTTGGGGAATGAGTTTGGCAATTGTTGCTGTCAGGCACAGTGATACTGATGCCTGTGATAGTACCTTCTGAGAGCCAACCCTGCCAAATATCCATACCTAAGTTGGTATTTCTTACCAACATCCGCAGAGTAATATCTTCACTCTGCCTAGCACTAATGATATTCTGAGCAAACACTGGGCCGATGCTACGGGGAGTACACAGTTGTTCCTCCGAAGCATGACGAATGTTTATACATGGACTGGTAGCCATGTTGTGCCGACGTAATATTCTAAAAATAGGACAAATACGCAGCAAATACAAAAATATGCCTAAACCACCCGAAACTAAAATATTAACAACTAAACCTAACACTACCTATTCTAAATAATAATGATAAATAATACTAGGTCCCTATGTCCAAGGTCACGCACCCAGCCTTTGTATACTGGGGAAATATGGCGCCCAGCCCACATGATCAGGTGCGATAGGACAGTATATAAAAAAAAACTAATATAACTCAACAAAAAGGCTGGAGCAGCGCTAAAATATATCTAATGAAAAAAAATAAAAACCTAAACTAATACGAGGTATTGCACACATGTGCCCACGACCACAATACAAAAAAAAATGAAAAATATCAAAATACGGCGATAGTCCGCCGACTTCTGACACCAAATGTAGTATTGTCCAATGTGTATATAACACACAGGAACCACTACGGTTGCTCCCAGCTCACAAACCAACAAATGGTACCGTGAAGTTTTTTAGATCACGTCCGTTCGGTTTGATGGTCAAGAGTCAAGAGAGAGCTGTCAGATGGTCTCGCGCCAAACTGTAACAGGAGCTCCACGAGATCTCGAGGAGTCAATGTCGTCGTATGTCAGCGATGACAACCAGGGGAGATAAATCACCCCAGTTTTCACTACAATATATACAATATAAAACTAAAACAATGTTTTTTTTTATCTGAATGCTTTTAAGATACACACAGTTACCCATACTGTAGCATTTTTAAATTGTATTTTCTTTTGAATCTCATGTCCAATACTCTGAATATTATTATCAGCATTGACTGAAGGGCGTAATTTTTTTACAACAGTGTTTTTTTATTTTCCAGGTTGGAACCATGTATGTTACAAGACCAAATTTTTAACAATACATGAAATAATGTTATTTTCAAAACAAGAGTTTTATAACAAACAAGGCCACTGTCACAACTTCAATATGCAAATGCCATTTTTCAAGAATATCCAAAAAACACAATCACATTTTACATTGAGCCCATTTTCCCACATAAAACCATCCTTGCAGGAAAATTATTGTTACTTCTAAAAACTATAAATTTTGACTTGTAAGTAGAACACATACTCCGAGTGTATGTTACAAGTTAAATTTTTACTTTAACTTGCGGCCAATTATGACTCTTACTGGACCTACTCCTTGGGGGAAAATCCAACCATTCCTTAAGGAAAAGGATGAGTTTCAAGAATTTGCTATATTTTTCCAATTTGACCGCACCCTTCCTGCTGAAGTGGGCCAAGACCAAGGGGTTTACAAAACTGATTCCTCGTCGCCTAGGGTACTTTTGGGCAAAATCCAAGCATTCCATCAGGAAGCAAAAGATTTTAAAGGATTTGCTCTATTTCTCCTATTGGGCCCACCCCTCTTGCCTTAGAGGGATTAGACCCATTGTTTATAATAAAATTTATTGTCCTTTATGTATGAATGCTTGAGATAATATTTGGGTAAACCACCATCGTTCTTTAATCCTACTGGAAGAATAGGATTTCAAATAATTGCTCGTTTTCCATACCAAGCACAGCCCCCCCCCCCCCCCCCCCCCCCCCCCCCCCCCCCCCCCCCGTTTACAGAAAATTGATAACCTTTCACCTTAGAATGCTTCAGATAAAATTTAGGTAAAATCCAATCATTCCTAAAGGAGTGGGAGTATTTCAAAAATGTTCCTTTTGAGCCCCACCCCTCAGGCCCCTTGGGACTAAAAACCTCCACATTTTATACAAAATTTATTCTTCCTTCCATGCCAGGTGAGCTAAAAAATGTATCAAAGGATTTACATACTTTTCAGTAAACTATTTTGGATGATCATTGATATATGATAATGATAGGACCTACAGTGACTTGCCAAAACTACAATGCCATTACACTATATATTTCATAAATTTACATTTTTTATGAATTTTCCTGGCTTTATTTTCTTTATTCTTTTTTTTTTTTTTTTTTTTTGAATTCACTGATATAAACATTGATTTCTGGAGTATCTTCTGGCAATATTTTGTAGGAATTTCCGTCTAAATTTTAAGAGGTTCTCTTTATAGTATACTATTCAGTATAGTGAAACGGTAGTCACAAACTACTTTAAATCTGTACATACTAATGCATACAAATATGTTAATCCAGGATAGGTCAAGAATCCATCCTGGGCGATTTCTATGTCTTAGTAAAACTTTTTATTATATGACTTTTTTGCTCAATATACTAAACCACTATAGAGGTTGATATTCGAATTTAAAAATGGAAATCTACACTACCAACTAAACGACTATTTTATACAATACGAGCACATAAAACTCCTTTTACAAACCTTATCGAACCCACTACACAATTACTTTACAATACATAATGCGAACCACTGGACATCTGAAGTAAGAGTTAATATACGTGAATGTGTAAAATACGAAAGACTGAACTTGTAAAGCAATAGTAATAACTAATGAGTAATAATCATTTACAAATAGTTCATGACAATTACACACATTACATAACCATACGCAATATGCCTAGCACGGTCCTCAATGCAAAATACATATAAACCGAAAGTGACAGTCACGTCGTCTAGCGACACGACGCGATAATGCTAATTAACAATAGTTAAAACTGCCATGGACAGTAGTAAACCAAAGAAACTATTACCGTTTCAAATATTAAATCATTTCATCAAGGTGCCACTCTGGTTACTGCGACCACGAAAAAGTCTGATTCTGAATCCATGACTTTCAAAATTCGCCGTAAGCACTTCATTATTCAGGATAATTGGTCTCCAACCCGCAAACGTGGGGTGAATGATTTAAATCATATCAGTACGGAGTAGGCAGTATTTGTTTCTAAATAATGTCGTATCCTGGTATTATCAAACAGGTCAAAGCTTACCTAGACGTAGTGCTGCCAACAGCACGAAACAACACATGAAAATGCCCATCTTTGTTAAGCCTGCGTCGAAGAAGTTGTATGTGTGTGTATTCGGCAATCTATACACGAGTTGTCGTTCGTAACAGCATTAGCGGTTGCGGCTAGCACGACGATTTGCAGGATAGCGCAGGATCGCGCAGGATCGAGGGGGATCGGTCCATTCTATAGCCGTTTACAACTGTATAAGGCTATTTTGATATGGGTAATGCATATAACTCATTCAATAACCTGAAACCTATTTGCTTCGGTGATAAATAATTGGATAAATAATCGCCAGAATGGCGACCAATGGTAAACTTTACCGCAAACTTCATTTTGAAAATTTGTATTTTGGAAGATTCATATGCACCTATTGAGGACATACCGTGTCGAGCATGTGCGGATTTCACTCTCCGTATGAACGATTTTTTACTATAAATTATATAGCGATGAATCTTATTCATTGTCTTACCAAATTTTAACAAAATGGTTATGTTAACCACTTCATTGTGCAATATTATGTATAAATGTCTAAATGTATGCCTCTGACTATCAAGTATAGTAAATTTCCAACAATTGATATAAATTTGACAAAAAAAATTTTTTTTAGGTGAAAATGGCACATAATTTCAGTTCGAGGAATTTATTTAAGTCCCATCGCTGTACAGGTAAACACAGCATTGATGCGTCATTTAGACAGACTGTTGTTTATATAAAGTAACTAGTTAGTCTTGGTTTCTTTTTAATATCTGATAATATGATAAGTAATACACAGAGTGCAAATACAGCTACTGGATCGATATCGCTCTGATCATTCCTCACCTAGTGTATCAATTAAATTTAATGATTTCGGAATGATCATGATTTATCTGTTTGTACTTGATCTGCATGCACTTGTGATAATTTTAAAGATGCAGGACGTTTTAATTATAACTGTATTCACGTGTCTTTGTTGTATTTGAATTTAAAGTGAACCGAGTTACACTACTTGTGCCCTAATTCTAAACGTGACAACGCAATTTGTCATATTGCGCCCAACGTGGGACTTTGTTAGTGTCGCTTAGCTCATTTTATATTCTATGACCATAGCCATTAGCCTATTTCTTGAAACCGTTTTGCTATGGGTACCTTTTCTGCCACTCCCACACGTTCTCCGTTGATACCCCATACTACCGTTTTGGCCCCGGAAGTTGTTCTGGACATGTCTGAAAAAACAAAATGAACTCATTTCATATTAAATTGATGATGTTCAGTGTGAAATGAAAACTGTTTTTGACAAGGTCGTGGAAACATCTACTTTTCTTCTAAGCGAATTAGGCAACACTTGGAAAGAAGTGTAGTTTCTCAATGAACAAACCTTCAATTTAAAGGACAATCTGAACAAGATTCAAAGTGAATTGAGACCCTGTCAGCGTTTCTATGTCTGACAGATGTTGTCAATCTGATAGTCATACTGACATATGTCTAGGGTGAGACACACTAATGGACACCCTACCTGCTCACAAAACAGTTCCAATCGTGGCAAACGGGTCATGTTCTTTTAACTCTTTTAACACAGGTGTCCCCTAGGCTAGCAGCTCTTAAGTAGACAAACTTGCTGCTCCTGTCAATACCCAAACATGCGTTGATTTCAGTATTTCTCCGTCAGATCGCGTTTGTCCTAAAATGCCGACTTGTCCTGATTCAGGTATTCTCATGAAACCAGTCATTTATGATGGCAAGCAGGATTGGGAGGAATTTCTGTCCCAGTTTGAAACTGTCGCAGACACCAATCAATTTGATTATGGGGAGAAGAGCCTTTATTTTGCAGGAGTCTGGCTGGTGCTGCTAGGGCAGTATTAAGTGATATAAATAGTGCTGGTCGCTGTAATTTCTCTGAGCTAACCTCCCCAGTGAATCGGAGGTTTTGCAGTGAAAGTAAATCTGAAATGTTCCGTGCGAAGCTGTAGACAAATATTAAGGGCAAGGATGAGTCTTTGTCTGATTTGTCTATACGTAAACTTACCCGTCAAGCTTACCCAAAGGCACAGCAGTCGGTTCTTGAAACTGTCTGTTGATTTATTCATAAATGCCATTGTAGACCCGGACATCCGTCGACGCTTGCGGAAAGTTCAGTTACAGACCCTAACCAAAGCTGAGACACTAAGTGGAAATATCAGAATTTACAGACGATTGTAGAGAAATAGCTTGTAAAGGTACTTGCCGTTTTTTGATTTAGTAGTACTCAATGCTTTTTAACGTAAAATATTCTGCATTTCAGTTCCACCTCGAATTATCGATCTTGTTTACAGCCAAGGAGATGTTGACTTAAGAGAACATTAATCTAAATCACTGATTTGTACTGTGGAGAGTTATCCTCCGTCCACAATACAGTGGCTTTATAAAGCCAACAACACCATTCTACTCAACACCCCTGACGTCTTAGACAGTATCTATACCCTGATTAACGCTAAATGTCTGGACACAGGACTGTATACCTGTGTCGTAAGGAACAGTATCTCTACAACAGCTGTCACCAGGGACATACCTGTCAACGTTCTCTGTAAGTTTCATTTCCGATGTGAATATGAAACTATTTCTATGTAAATAAAAATAATGTAATAATCCCTGTATGTTTGATGACCATAAAGCATACATCTTCGGCCGTTTTTTTTTTTTTTTTTCCACAAAATGGAAAACATTGCAAATAAAATGGGTCTTGAATGATACTGTGTGCGAAGCGTAATTATTTCAGCAGTTTAAAACAATGCAAAGTAACAAAAAATTATTTCTGTTACATGATTACAAACCGCACATACTATGTACGATTACAGAAGAAATACACTCACTGATGTAATCATTATCTAAATTACAATAAATAAGGTCTTTTAATAAAGTGTACTTTCTTATAGACCTTCGGAGCAATGTGAGAAGAAACAGGAAGAAAATACCAGCATGTCAAAGTAAACATAATCCAAACCCAAATATTCTAATAACACTATTCATATTGAGGAGTAGGATGTCTTAATATATTATAGTTAATGAATGTTATAACCTGCCATAATTGTAATATGTTGTTATATTTTTCATGCCAATAGGTAAACCTCGCCAGGACCATAGAGTTGCACTTGAACATACCTTTGTATTAGCAACGTTTGAAACACTAGTCTTTCCTGCTAGGTTGCTGTCGAATCCAGAGCCATCATATAGTTGGTCATTTCAATCACCAACAACAACCGCTGTCACTGATCTTCTTGATGGAAGAAACAATTTTAATATACAATCTTCCTTCGTAATGATGAATCTGTCCGCAGTATCAGTTGGGACACGTGCAGATATACAAGAATCATGGTTTGGCGTGTACAATGTAACGGCGACAAACAGTCAAGGCAGTCACACATTGAGTTTCACAGCTCTGGCAAAAGGTAGACAACTCCGCATTAAATGAATGGTACCGAGATTTTTAATGAAAGATAGCGTTTTAATTGGGCCGTTTAATTGATAGAAAATATAATTATCATTAGAAAATCGCCAACGTGAAGTCGACTCCGTTGTTACATGGATTGTTTTGTACTATGAAGCATCTCTTTGAAATATATGATTGTATAAAAAACACAAACGTGAATAGCACATTTTGATAATTTAGCGTTCTGGTACAGTAGCGGTTTCCTCCTTTAAGGACCAATAAACTTATCTTTGAAAATATCACAATGTCCCACCACCTGAACCCACCAATCTTGTTAACATGGCGATGATCATAAGTATTTTTTCTGTTTTGGTTTATTTATTAAGATGAATTCTCAATTTAGCATTAGCAGTTAATTTGTTTCCGTGTAAATACATTGATATGTCTTAAAAAGTTCAAACGACTTATTCTCATTACACCATAATACATATTCCAAGGTAATGCTGACTGATATAAGCACGCCACGACGAAGAATCTATAATTGTGTGAAAGGATAAAAAACTTACATGTTTATAAGCTTAAATGTGTAAAGGTATTGAATCAAGCATTTATTGAGATATCCTGAATTTTTGCTGTGTATATACAGCAGGAGTAGTATTATTCAGTGGAAAAAAGTAACAAAACAACATTTGTGACCTCTTTTAATTGTGAGCTAATTTGAGGAAGACCAAATGAAAAATAGATATTTTCCATGGAAATATTATGTCTAAATGTGTAATATAAAACGTCACACAAACGCTTATCCCCGCACACACCATCAAGTATTCACAAAATTCGTTACTATTTTGTTTCAAGTAGTTTGAGATATATTGTATGTGTCATGGTAATTATGTTAATTACAGGAAATCCCAGACCGCCAACGAATTTATCAGTCAGTTGTGGTAATCCATATTCCGTCGATGTATCGTGGAATAACGGAGGATACACCAACTACTTTCATGTTTTATACAGTACTGACAACTTCATACAGTCACTTACGTATCCCACCAATATTTTAGAAAAGAACGGAGACGAACATGACGTTTACAATGTAACTATAGACAATCTCGAAGGAAACAAGCTATACTTCTTTAAGGTTATAGCTTACAACTCTAACGCGAACCGTACATCACTTAAAACAGCTGGATGCAAAGTTCAGGAAGGTACGATACTATATCTTGTGTCCAGTATGAAATACATTGAGTTTTTTAAGATATTCTGTTAATGATATCTTACTGAAATTCTTATTTATAAGAGTTTGATGTAATGAAAATCAGAAATGCTAGATGGGAGCTAAGACAAAACAAATATATTAATTAAGAATGCCATATTAAATGAAAGTAAAATGTAGATTACTTTTTTAACACAATCAATTATTTGTGAAAGTATTTTTAGGGGAGTTTAGCCCCGGATCAAATGATCGGGCGTATTGTTTTCCATCTATTTGTGTATTTGCCTGTTTGTCTTTTGTCAACAGTATCCTTTCCAATAGCAACCAAACCGTAAGAGGGAGGGCTTCTATATTTAGCACTTGTGTTCCTTGTGGTAGGGACAGTTTTGACAATGTTACCTTGACCGTGACCTTTGATCTACAATTGAAAAAAAAATATTG